TTGAATTTCTACTCAATTTTCTGATGACATCTATATGCAAAAATCAATTTTATAATTTTTATTTATATAACAATATATTTTACTACTGTTACTGCTGGCTATCCCTGGCCCCAGGAACAGAGAGGCAGAGTCACCGAGGCTGCAAAGAACAAAGGAGATTATTGGCTAGCCCGAGCCAGGACCCAAGTCCCAGCGTACCAACGCAGTGGCCACCATCGAGGACAAGGACCCCGTCGCAGGGTAAAGGCTGAATTTTTATACTTTTCTACAGGTTACGCAAGCTGGGTGAATCACCACCACCCCCTCCTTTGATTAATGGCTTTGTCCGGTTGTGTAAGTTCTTGATTGGTTGGCTCCATTTCTGGACTTTCCAGTTGTGGTCAGCATCGCTTTGGAGAAGAGGAAATTTTGGCTGGAGAAATGAAACTTAGGCCTATCTTAAGAGGCTCGGCCTGTCATGGAGTCACTGTTGCCTTACACGACCTCATAAAAATATAGGAATTTTGAAATGTGTTATCCAAAAATTTCTAAAATTTTAATAAAGATGATAACACCACCACCAAAAAAATAGTGTTCACCTTTTGTAACGCAGCGGTGACTCCATGACAGGCCAGGCCTCTTAATGCAGGCCTGAGTTTCCTTTCTCTAACAAAGTCACCCTCTCCCCCAAAAGGACACTGACCACACCTGGGAAGGCCCGAGTGATCCCAATGACGCTGACCACACCTGGAAAGTCGTGAGTGACCACAATTGGACCGTCAGAGAGTGGAGCCGGTCAACCAAAAAGACCTGCACCACCAATTGTCTCCAGATGAAGTCATTGAACTATGGGAGGGTGAGGGGGAAATCGTCTCACCCAGGGGGGATAGTGTCACCCAGTTTACGTAACCTGTAGAGAGTATAAAAGCTTGGCTTGTGCCCCAGGCCGGGGTCCTTGTCTTTGGTGACCACTGCATTGGTGCTTTAGCACGTGGGCCCTAGCTCGAGCTAGTCTATAAACTCCTTTGTTGTTTGCAGCCTCTGTGACTTTGCCTCTCTGTTCCCGGGGCCAGGGAAAGTCGGCAGTAAGTTTACTTCAAAGTCACATGTCCATAATGAAAGAGCCGTGTGGGGCTTGTGAGCTGCTGTTGGCCGACCCCCTCCTCTAGACCACCCCCCTTAGACTTGGCCTCACACAGGTTGGGCAACCATGTGTTGCAGCCAACTCAGTGGCAGGGAGCCTGGAGCTCCGGCTTATCCGGAGTCTAGGGGCAGTGGTGGTGGGGAGGGCATCCTTGTCTTCCATGTGAAGGATGCAGCTTTGGTTCCCGGCTAATGCCTTTCATGGGTGGCCACCACCTGTCTGTCGACAGAGGCTTGTGGGTTGCTACATGGCTACCCAGAGCAGAGCTTCCATG